AAAAAAAAAAAAAATTTAAAACTTGTGAGACTGTTAACTACATACTTGAATAATGCTTTTTATAACTAGCGTATTTATATAGGACAAATATAAATAAGATCATCAAGAAGACTCCACTATCCCTCTCTGGTGTCCTTAGTTATCAGAACCAGTCTATGCATTTAATCAGACTTTTGGCATAATTTTACTATTACATAATAATTATGAATCTTATTATTTTTCTTTTTGAGATTGTTCATAGCAACCTTACATCAATCCACATAGCTCTCTCACATACCCATGCTCATACCATATCATATATATATATATATACACACACACACACATATATATACACACACACATACATATATAATTGATTGAATAATTTTATTTATATGTTGCTGTATTTAATGGTCAGGAATACAATGTCATTTTAATAATGCTCCCTAAAACAGGACAGCTTTACAAGGCAGGTACCAAGAACACAATAAGAAGTAAGATATTGCCTGTATTCATAAATAATTTTATTATTTCCTTGCTGAAAATGAAACTGTTCCTAGAACATCTGACCTTAATGCCAATCAAATAAGTTTGAGACTTACTTCTCCTAGTCCTCTTGATCTTATAAATATATGTACCATTTCTTACCTTAGATCATAGTTACTTCCATTTGTCAAATCACTAATTTTCTGATCTCACTATTCTACAGTCTGAAATATTAAATATTTACTTTTGTTTAGTCCTCCATTTACTTCTATTCTTCCTACAAATAAATCTTTTGAACACTGAGGTTTAGTTTAATTCCTCACTTTATAGATAAAACAAACCAAAAAGAGTAGGGTATTTTCTAGATTTTGGCTACTAGAAAAAAGAAAAAAGTTTTAATGTCGCCATTCTCTTTCTAAAGTTCATTTTTACTTAGACGGAGGCTTTATACATTAGCCAAAATCAAATAAAATACCAAGCCACTAATACACTGATCCCACTCATAACTCTATTAATTAAACTAGTCTTTTCATCTTTAAAATGCTATTCTTCACATAGCTAGAGCATGAAATGTTTATTATAAATGAACAAATATACTTATTATAGGAAAATCTAAATAGTAGATGCAGACAAATTTTTCCTATTTGTCACAATCTCCCAATGATTAGACTATTTTATCCAAAGAGATCATAATTCAAAAAAGAACTCTTAAGAGTCTAGACACTTAAAATTAATTAACATAATTAGGGTTGGGGTCTCCTTACCTATAATTAAAATTGACCATCCTTATTTTAATAAAAGGAAGAGGTTTTTAGGAATTCATCAATTAGAAGAAAATAAAAGAGTTTCCTGTGAAGGGGCAATCTCCCAACCATCAGAAAAATTATTTCTAGAGTTTTATCTTTTAGAGGGAAACTACCAGCAGTCACAATTAAGATATATTGTAAGTGAAAACACTCAGTAAATAAAATGTGCTTTTACTTACTTTTTCATATTTCCAACTAAAACAGAAATACAAGTTTAAGACTCATCAACCTCCCTAACGCATAAAGTTTCCAAAACAAATGCACAAGGTTTCCAAAACAAAAACGCAAGACTGGACCCAGATTTGGGGAAATAAAAAAAGACAGGACAGTAACATACCAAAATGTTAACAGATATAGAGCTCTGAAGGGTGAAGTACGTGATTCTTTATTTTCTTCCTTATACGTTTCTATACGCTTCCAAATTTTCCCACAGTGAACATTTATTACTTTCACATTCAGAAAAATCTTATTTAAAAAATAAACTATACATCATCATATAATAAAGGTTCATTTAGAATGGCTCTCCATGTTGTAGAAGTATTACTGACCTTATTCACCATTATAGATTATGCCTCCACACCTACTCACTTTCCAACACTAAAATTATGCTGTTTTATGTCATTTTCTGCTGCATCCTCAACAATGGAATGAACTTCACTTTCTTCTAACGTTTCATTTCCACTTATATACACGCTTTTAATTTTTTCATCACTAATCCTAAATAGTCCGGTTTTTTAAAACCTACCTCTAAATTTCGTTATATCAAAATTAGAAAGATTAAAAAAAAATTTTTTTAAAGGATGGTTTGACCCACTAAGTACAACTTCGTGAGGCCACCATCACTTTAGCTACGGAAAAGTCAAGGCCGGGTAAACTACACGTCCCACCATGCATTGCTGCCTTGTTCAGAGTAGGTCTCTACGGAAACGGAAAAAAAAATTCTACAAGTCCCACCTGTTACTTCGTTTCTAAACACCTCCTGCACTTTCAGCTGCAACAGCAAACAAAAACAAGAGCCTCGTGACCTCACGTCGGATCTTGGAGCCCAGACCAGCAGGGAGCCCGAGGTCAAGCGGCTTGTCTGCTCTAGCGGGTAAATTCTACCAAGCTCCGGCGCCCCTCTTCCCGGGGCTGAGTGCACGCACAAGCCTTCTCCTATCTGCACCAATGGGGGCTCTTCAGCCGCACAAGGGAGAAGAACCAGTTACTGTGCAAGCACAACAGACTTCCTCATGCCGGGCCGAGGGTTACCACAGACTGAGGGGTGAGAGCGACCTGACCCCGAGAGGCAGCTTCAAAACACCTAGAGGACTTGTCGCAGACGCAGGGAGAAGCCACAGCCCCGAGGCGACCCTCTTCCGCTGGGCGCCTCCATTACCACAGGGATCACAACCCCGACACTAAACGCCGCCTTCTTCGCACGGTTTTGCGCCCCCTCAGCGGGGTCGCTGGGCCAATGACCTCCCTTCCCCTGCGACTGTCGGGCGGCAAGGGAACGATATCCTCCCGGCCTTCCCCTGCGCTCCCTCCCCCTTACCGTCTTGGCGGCCTCCGCCCAGGTCCTGCCCTTCTTCCTACGGCCCTTTTCCCTCATGTCGGGTCTTGAACTGACTGGGAGGCTCCCGTGTCCGGGCTCCGGCCGCCCTCCCTGCCTGCTCTGCCCTGCGCTGCTTTTCCCGCGGTGCCGGGAAAGGTGGGAGAAAGGGGAAGTCAGGCCGGAGGAGCACCCAAGCAGAGGAAGCGGCGGGGGTGTTGCGCGGGGGGGTCTATGGGGCGGCCGGTCCTCCTGCTGCCGTTGCCACTGCTACCGCCGCTGCCATATTGGGTCCTTACTGTACAGGCAGCCGATACAGTCATGTGACCGCTCCCGCGCGGCCGTCACTACTGTACGCGGCCGGCCTCATGGACGAGCGCGCGCGCGTCCCCGCCCCGCGGGTGCGCGCGCAGCTGCAAGAACAGCGAGCCGGCGGTCCGCGGCGCCTCGCCACGCCCCCACCATTCGCTCTCAGCCTCTCCTTGGGAGCATGCGCGTGAGGGCGGTCCGACGCTCACGCCTACCCCCAAAATCTGCGGAAGCGGAACTTGATCCATCCCGGAAGGCTTATTGAGCAGATACTGACCGCGTGCGAGGCGCCGCCGTGGCTGTAGCGGTGGCTCTTACCTCAAAGCGCGACCCTCTCAACTGTCACTTTCAATAAACCTCATACTAGTGTTTTCTCATTTGTCCATGTTCATTTTTACAAAAGTTATTTTTTTTGAAGATTTGCAACAGTTCTCTCCTACTTAATGGATGAGGCTATTTGAGATTGAATGACTTACCAAATTCATAAGTCTAGTATGTAGAGAAACCAAAAATCAGATTGCCAGATCAGAGCCCTTTCCATCTCCCCAGAATGCCTCTCAAACGTAGGTGACCTATTTTTAAGGCCACCAATAACTACATTCATGCTTTTACATGTGAATCGTCTCATCGGGTGCACAAATGGTGTCTTTTATTTTGGTGAGCTCAGTCCCGGCACAGTGCCTGTACATATCAGGCGCTCAGTAAATATTTGCTGAATGATTCAGCTATATCTGTGGTCAGAAACCATTATTTGTAGTGTCTATAACAGCCTCATGAAAAATCCAGAATGGGGCATCTTCCGTCACATTATCCACGTCTTTATACTTTGCAAAGTAAAAAGAATGTGTAACAATACCTGCTGATCACCCAAATCCACCTACTTCCAGGAGCATCTTCCAGTCCAGTAAACTTAACTATATTCTAAAATAGGACTGAGAGTTGGCTGCCTCTTAGGAGGAAAAAACAGGTGAGAGCAATACTTGAAGTTCATGGATGGGTTTCAAAAGTTCATGGGCCCCCTAAAATTATTGGCAATATTTTGTGTGTGTTAATTGTGCATTTTCTGAGAAAAGGATTCTTAACTTTTCCTCAATTTTTCAAAAGGGGTCTGTTACACCAAAAAAAAAAAAAAGCCTTAATAGGGAGTTTGAGATGCCATCTAGATACTTCCTTATATTTCTCTTTAAGTCATTGATCAAACAGCTATTGATATGGAAATATTTACACGAATTCCTTAAGTAACTCATAGCATGATCCATAACACTAAGGTATGTACCATCTCCCTCTAAAGCCTACATCTATAGTTAGTTCAGGAAGCCCCCCTGCATCCACCGCTGTTGACTGGGGCTTGCCACACAGCCCTGTTGCCTGGGCAGTCTACCTCAACTTGTTTTCAGACTCTACTAGGCCAGATACTCCCACTGTCTTTACAGTTATATACCACATAACGACATTTTGGTCATCACCTGACCACATGTATAACAGTGGTCCCAAAAGATTATAGTGGAGCTGAAAAATTCCTATCACCTAGTGACATGGTAGCCATCATAATGTATTGGGTTGTCAGAAACGTCATGACTCATTTTTGCAACAAAAAACATAGAAAAAAATACGTCATGACGTTTCTGACAACCCAATAGCACAATGCGTTACTCATGTGTTTGTGATGACACTGGTGTAAACAAACCTGCATTGCCAGTCTTATAAAAGTATAGCATATATTGTACAATTATGTACAGTATATAATACTTGATAATAAATTATTGTTATTGGTTTATGTATTATACTATCCTTTTTATCATTATTTTAGAGTGCACCCTTTCTACTTATAAAAAAAAGTTTGCTATAAAACAGTATCCCCTGTTACGCTGGTAGCAGCCTCACACATCTTATAATTACCAAGTCTCTTGATTGCATCATTTCCTCTTGTGCTTGATTTAGTCTTGGGTTGTTTTGTACAGTAACATGTATACAGGCTTATAGCCTGGGAGCAATAGGCTACACCATATAGTCTAAGTGTGTAGTAGGCTATACCCTTTAGGTTTGTGTAAGTACACTCTATGATGTTCAAATACCAATGAAATCATCTAATGGTGCATTTCTCAGAATGTATCCCTGTCATTAAGGATTTCTACTTCTGACTTCCCTCCACCCCCTTTTACAAGCATACTCAAGACCCTTCCAGTTTTAATAAAGAAGTCTCTTTACTCAACCACCAAACCCTACCAATTATTTTTCTCCCTTCTTTGCCAATAAATATGAAAGTAGCCTACACTCACTGTCTCCACTTTCACAGTGTCCACCCACTCTTCTGCCATTCTAAGTATAACAATATTTTCCTCTAAATTAAGAAATAACAGAGGCACTAACTAAGGATGAGAGGAATCTATGTTCAAACAGCAGAAGCAGGAGACAGTATAGTTGAGAACTCAGATCAGCCGCAGTAGTGGAGGCTGTATTTCTTCCCACTCCCTTCTCCTTATAAACTCCTCTCAGGAAAAGAGGCCCACCAGAATCTGGAAGACCTGCACCCAGCACTTACATGAACAAATGATGCCAAGGGGTACAAAAGATCTACCCTAGAGAATGTGCTTGAGAAGAATGTGTGCTCTGATGCTGTTGGATGGAATGTTCAGTAATGTCTGTTAAGTCCATTTGATCTGATGTGTCATTTAAGTACAATGTTTCTTTATGGATTTTTCTGTCTGGGTGATCCATCCATTTTTTAAAGTGGGATATTGAAGTCCTCTACTATTATTGTATTGCTGTCTATTTCTCCTTTTATTTATTTTTTTTTTGGTTTTTTTGTTTTTTTTTTAGCTGAGCCATCCTGCTGCCTGTTGGCAGCTCAGCGGCTGCTCAGCTCGGGCTGGACTCGAACCGCTGTTGCTCAGAGCTCAAACTCTTGAGCGAGCTCTTAACCAACTGAGCCACTCGGCCGGCCCTTCTCCTTTTAGATATGTTAATATTTGCTTTATACATTTAGGTGCTCTTGTGTTGAATGTATAAATATTTACAAATGTTATATTGTCTTGATGAATTGATCCCTTTATCATTATATGATGACCTTCTTTGTCTCTTGTTACAGTCTTTGGCTTAAAGTCTATTTTGTGTGACATAGGTATAGCTACACCTGCTTTCTTTTGGTTTCCATTTGCATGGAATATCTTTTTCCATCCCTTCACTTCCAGTCCATGTGTGCCCTTAAAGCTGAAGTGAATCTCTTGTAGGCAGCATATAATTGGGTCTTGTTTTGTTTTGTTTTTACATTCAGCCACTCTGTATCTTCTGACTGGAGAAGGGGAAAAAAAGAAAACATTTTTTAAGTTTCTTCTGTCCATGTTAAAAAGATACTCAGGTACTTCTTATATTTCCATTTTATGTTTCAGTTTGAGCCTAGATTAGGTAAATAATTACAATTAACTTAAATAAGTACCCCAATTTGATAGAATTTATCCAACTGTGTCTAATGGCAGTCCAAAGACAATTTCATTTTTAAGACACTTCTTCCTGCAGTCTCACAGATTATAGGACCAACATTAATTCCAGGAGGAAATAGATTGGTCAATTGTTTTAAAAATACAATATTAAATTAACAGTGTATTATGAATGCACCAGAGTACATGGTGCTGAGGCCCTCATTAACTGTGCTAGCCATAGACTTCAGCCTTAACCAGTTTGCCATCTGGTTAAACACACTTGCCTTGAGTTAGGTAATGACTAGGAGGCAGGCTGTAGGTGGATCCTAGTCAAAGTCCTTGCCTCTGACCCTATGTTGGTCAATGGCAGTGGCTGCACAGAGGAAGAGGTGCTAGACTCAGACACCTGGGTTGGAATTCCCCCACCTGAATACATTCTACCTTTTGGAAGTTGGGCAAGCCACTTAACTTCTTTAAGCCTCAGTTCTCTCTTCTAAGGTTACTGTGAGATCTGAATGGTGTAATACATGTAAAGTGATTAGAACTGTGCCTAGTATATTAGAAGCCATAGATACATGTTAGCTATTGTATCTTATATATTATACCTGACTAGAAAAGAAGGCAAAAGTATACCTTCTCAGCTCTTTTTTTCTCCTGTAAAACGTATAAATACCTAGCTATTCCCATTTTCCTACTATGCAATGAGATTTAGCTTACTTGGTGACCAGGCCAACAAGGGCCTAGAAGAAAAGAGAGGAAAGGAACTGACTATTGAATGTCTGCTGTATACCTGGCAATTTATATGAGGATATGAAGATTGAAGAACTTCTCAAGAAATATTTCTTTTAGGGACAATTTTTCCCATCTAGTACCATGACCTTGAAATACTCAGTCTAACCCAATTAAACAGATTAATTTAGTATATTTCAATGATGAGCCAAATACTGAGGACTAGAAAGTAGTGCAAGACTGCAAAGCAGTTGAGGACAGGGATGGCATCTGTCATGTTCATTATTATATTTGCAGTGCCCAGGACAGTGCCTTTATTTTTTTTTATTTTTTTTTTATTTTTTTTTTAGCTGAGCCATCCTGCTACCTATTGGCAGCTCAGCGGCTGCTCAGCTCGGGCTGGACTCGAACCGCTGTTGCTCAGAACTCAAACTCTTGAGCGAGCTCTTGACAGTGCCTTTAATAGGAAGTGCTCAACACATTTTTACTGAACAAATAAATAAATGACTGATCAAGACATAGTCCCTACTCCCAAGTAGCTCATATTAAAGTAAGAAACACCTGGGGCTGGCCAAGTGGCGCGTTGGTTAAGAGCTGGCTTGGGACGGCAGCTCTGAGCAGCAGGGCCCTGTTTCAGATCCCACATGGGGGCCAGTGACACTGCACCCTCTACAGCTAAGATGGTGAACAACAGCTCGACCTGGAGCTGGGCTGCCGTGAGTCGTCAGCGACTGCGTAGGCTATAGCCCCTGTTGCCGTGGGCTGCCATAAGCTGCCGTGTGTGGCTGGCAGCCAGCGTGAGCAGCTGGCAGCCGGTGTGAGCTGCCAAGAGCTGCTGTGAGCCACCGGGAGCAGCCGTCGAGAGGCCGGTGATGGATCTGCCTTACCTGGG